ACTCAATCACAATAAGTACTGCATCTTTCTTAGGGCGATATATCTTTTTAACAAATACCATTAAATGGCATATTAGCTACTAAATCACTAGACTTCTACATGCATGTATTTTTGTATGTTTTTTTGTTGAACATTTTGGAAAGTGTATTAAATTCTGATAGCGAGGCGGTGATCTATCAAAGAAAATGCATAAAGATAGTTTATCAAGATTGATGTAGGGTGTTTGAGGACTGCAAGTGCAGAAAATTACTCATTAAATGTACACATGTACTATGTGCATCATGTATTTGTCATTTGTAACGAATGACATTATTCCTCTGGGGCGGAGGCGGGAGAGTGGGGATGAAAGGATTGGTGGTGGTGGTCCTGAAAATACCAAGTTGAATCCCTCCAGTCTATCCCTACTACCATGTCAGAGCGGTGGAGATATGTCCACTTTGCAATGTGGGGACAAAAGTCAAATTGTCCGCTATTCCCCAAAAGGGTTTTTGGCGGATATATAATTTATTCGTGCATAACGTTTAAAACACGATTATTATTCTAGCTATGATTGAAAAAAATACTTTGATCTATATTCCCCCCCACCACGAGAATATCGTGCAATTCCTTTAACCGAACGTTTTTGATAAAAAGTATTTGATTTATGCAATAGTTTAATCAACAGTTGTTTGATTTTATAAATGAGATACTGTTTCATACATCACTCAACGTATATCACTCATTGTGAATACGAGCTCAATGTTATATATCAATAGCAAATTGTATTAATGTTTCGTGAACATAAGATTTACTTCATTTTAATGTCAATAATTTTTATAACGCTCCCGCTAACAAACCACAGTACAACACCATATAAACAACAATAAAATAAAAAAAAAACCAACAGTTTTTGAACAGACGTTAACGTTTCAGTCAAATGAGCCGGCAAATTAATTTTGAAAAGAAAAACATTTTTTTTTACTATAAAACTATCAAATTGTTTTACAATTAAACAAGGAAATACACTTATAAGATGATACTCAATCCGGCGTTTCGGTAACATATAATATAATAAATCAAATACACCTACAATTAAATATATCTTTAATAACGTGGCATAGCTTGTGAATATTTTTTTTCTTGTTCAGTTTGATAACCAGTTTTAACAGGATTTAACCACAAAGTTTGAGCTCTGACTTTGAAATCAAAATAAATAATTATTAGACAATGAATTTAATGGTCAAATATTTACAAGTAAATAATCAATATAAATATACATTTTAAAGATATATTATGCTCAACTTTGATATTTGAAAATAATGATAATTGCTATACAGTCTCTTTTTTTGAATGTACAATAAACATCTTTTAGTACAAACAGAGAATATATCATGTACACGCTATAGGTAAACACATTTTGAATACATAGTGTCATTTAAAAAACAACTACAGTTTTTTAAAGAAAAGACCAAATGAACTTGTGCTTTTCTTCTTCAAATTAGACATATTCAGTAAAAAAATCATTAAATTCAAGACATTTTTGCAATAAAAGTATTTTACCCAAAGATGAGTATTGTATATATTTAAACAAAATTAATATAAAGACATTATTATAGTAATGATTTTTTTTAAAATACGCCATTAATAAAAGTATTTTACCCAAATATGAGCATAGTATATCTTTAATAACCTTAATATTAGGACATTATTATAGTAATGAAATTACCTTTACATACTCCATTTATAAAAGTATTTTACCCAAATTAATACATGGATAATAATAAAAGTAGTGACAATTTTTACTTACGCCATTAGATTATAAGCCAGTCCATTTTTAAACCCAAGCTCTTTGCAGACGACTTTAGCGTCTGCGTGGCTAAAGTGATCACTGCAGACGAATCCTGTCTGGCCATCGTGCTCTACCAGGACCTTGCCACTTGAGGCTTCCTGAACACCACTTAGTTTCACCCGATAACTAGGTCCTACTTTAAAAATGATATTTTTTTGATAATATCTTATATTCTTAACCTTTGAACATCCCAACAAATCCCCCTAAAAACAACAACAAAAAAAACAACAAAAACATCAAACACACAAAGACAAAACAAAACATAAAACGCCAAATCAAAACAATCTTTTATAGGCTTATTCTAGAGATTACACACACAATATCAAAAAATTATCAAATTAAGTGCTGGGGGACACGCGGCCGGGGGTCATCAGTTTTATATCTTGATATATATTCTACATACATGTTATTATCAATTTTTGTTTGCAATTTTCCAATGAAACATTATTACACGTTCTCCGAAATAAGCTCTATTGCGTCTTTTCATGTTTAAATGTTGAATTCTACATAAACCGGTGCTAGTGGGTGTGGACAGTAACTTGCACTAAACAATATCGTCCGAGAACAGGCTCAAAGAAACCGAGCCTGCAACACTATTTTCAATTTTGTCGTTTTGGGCGTTCTTTAGGGATTCCCTTTTTCTCTTTTTTATTTGCATTCCCGTAACAACAGAAAAATAATGCTTTGATAGGGAACGTCCTCTCATAAATTACGCACAACAATTTGAATAATAAGCCGTTTTGGGAATCAGTGATGAGTTTTTGTATACACATGCCCTCACAACATCGTGCAGACGAACACACATACCCACGTATACACAAATCAAATATTGTATGCGTTTTCACATACTTTGAAAAAGCATCAGCGAATGGTCGCTTTATTACATAAATCTTAAGTTATACAAAGCTACATCAACAAAATTGATCGTTGGAATAATTTAATATCTTACCATAGTATCATATATCTGAAATACCAGATTGAAAATATTACAATAAAAAAATTCAAAGTTCATTAAGAAGTTGACAGTTTGATAGATTTAAGCTGAAAATATAATGTAAATTTCTTATAATATTACAATAAAAATATTGTATGCAAGTCATAACTTTCCCCCACTTCATCGAATCAAATTAGTTAAATGTCACTGTGTTTAAACTCAACTTCAGTAAGTGTTTGAAGGTCCCCCATTCTAGTCATCTAACTGATTATACCATTCCCGAGATAAAAGCAACAGTGATATGTAAATATGTCTGAAATATGACACCTTGTCATTAATTGGTAATAAAATAGTCAATTACATGTATTAAATTTCGTTTGAAGCTAATTTTCCACATAGAATCCTAAATACCTTCTGAAGAATTAAAAATTAAATCAACAATGTAGTTAATGCAATGCTGCAATGCGGTGCAGGGAGCAGTGTAATGGGTTCACTACCCTTTGCGCCTAATAAGATTAAAAAAATTCTGACAGCCTCAATAGTGTGTATCTAACAATTCAGTTAAGCGTTTTTCTTGATAAACATTATACCTATGAAATGTAGGTAAAAATGGTCTAGGCCTTGCCATATGACGAAAAAGTAGAAATTATTAAACACCAATAAAAATGAACGTTTCAAGCAACTACAACTCCTACGTCGCTTCTTTTGAGCTGTTTAAATTATATTTTTTTTCTTACAGGCGTCTGATTAACCCTACCTTTTCGAAAAGTTAGAAAGTATAGATTTGAAAATTTCCAGCAGTCTTTTTCGCATAAACTGTCTTTTAAACTGTGCATCTATTTTCAAGTTAGAAATACATGCCATGTATACCTTCACGAGTAAAAATCAAACACGAGGTTGACCAAATTACGTTCTTATATGACGTCAACTGTTTTTGGATGTGATTAAATTTACCAAAAAAAAGGGTAAAAATTGCTTTATTGCCGGAATATCTTACAAAGCCTCCTTGAAGAAATTTAAATGATAGGTTTTTTGTCTATTGTCAGTTTTAAACCACAAAACATTGTGGTAAACACGACGATACTTTTTTGCAATGTTTATTGAAATATGACAAAGCAATGTTTTTAATTAATTTTATTTTGCACCTATTAATAAGCTATCTTTATTTTAAAATATAGTTTTGAATTATTTGTAGTTAATCTATAGCATTATACCATCAAAAATGTTTTGGTACCATAAAATGCTTTAATATTTTTGCCTTTGCCACCGTCTACGTATTTCAAAAACTTATACATGTATTTTACTATTTTTAGATAAACATGTACTGACTATTAAAATACTGACTCAAAAAGCCTAAAACATAACATTTGAAGTTCTTACATTAATCAAGTGAATCACTTGGAACAGAAATATCTGCATAAAAGTATATTAAAGTAATTATCCGGATAATTAAGAAATATACCCAGAACTAAGTTAAATATAGACTTTTTGTGCGATTCTCAGCCCGATTTACGTGAAAATGCGTTGCAACGTTTTTCTGTTTTGGGTCATTTTGCGCAATAAAAAGAACAATTCTGGAAAAACAGGGCCAGGAAATGATCTGAAAGTTTGCACACAAGTTATTGGTCCAGACCTACAACAAATGGTACACAAATCTCGGAAAAATATTTCCAGTCCCGTCAAATAAAAAAAAACTCAGTGAGGTTCCTTTAAAAGTGTTTTCACAACTATTTAGTTATAAGAAACGTTACAAAATCACTACCACTTTAACAATTATATATATTGAATTTTTGTTTATATTGAGATAATTGCAATATTATTACATTGGTTAGGTGTTAGGTAAAATGCTTTGTTGTGGTCATTTTGCGGATTTCTCACTTTTTTCTGATATAGAAAGACCTCAGATAATCGTCCGTGTATTATTATAATTATATCATATTATAGGCATGAGTGTGCACATGAGTAGAACCACTGACCTTTCGTTATCTTGCTGCATTCACATATTAAAATATTTCGTAGTCCTAATAAGATTGGAACAATTGTCGGTAGGTGGGTAAGTGGTTTAAAGTCAGCAACCTAAATTACTCAACCATGGAGGTTATTGACATTGCAAGACCTTGTTGTCAACATATGGCATAATATTCTTCAACGCCATGGTTGACATCTCTGAAGAAGTGAAGAAAGCAAAGAGGACGCAAATGAAACATAAAAAATGCAAAACACCACAATATTACTCACCTGATTCAGTTGTTGATGCTTGTTGTGTTGTTGTTGCTGTTGTTGTTGCTGCTAATGTCGTCCTCACCGTATTAGTCGTCGTCGAAGCTTCTGTATCTTCGTTATGCGAATGTAAATGCTCAGTGGTTGTATCCGTGTCCTCCGCGTTACGTTTATCACTGTACTGTTCACTCCGTACTGTCTGTTCATTATTTGATGATTTAACGCTCCAGATATAAACAACACAGAACACAACCAGAACAAACAACAAACACACTAATAAAATTATTGTCAATGCTTTACGAATTGTCGTAGACTCCATATTTTTTTCTATCCTAAAGAAATTCACAACACGCACGTGCATTTGCACAAAGGTCTTAGTCAAATTTAATCATTCTTGCAATTTGCAACAAGATAAATAATCACTCACTAAATTATCCAGTGCACGCGTTTATTTCATAAATTCAATAAATTAATACAAATTTGAAAGAGCAGCGAATTGTAGGCTTTTGAAATTTGGTGGTAAAAATGTTAAGAGAACCATCATTTATCATATTTTATCATCATTACATGTTGATTTTTCCCCACATTTAGTTTGTATAATTAGGTGTCAAGGAATAGATTTGTCATTGTCGACTCATTAAATTGTTAAACGCTTAAATAAAAAGGTGTCACGCAACATTGGATAAACGGTCAATAAAAAAACATACGTTTTGTATAACGTTCATCGAATTAGCCGGTGTAAAGGTATTAAACTTCGAGCACATACGAAACGTTAAGCACGAAGAAAATGTCATTTACAAGATCCATCACATAAATGCTGTACGAATAATGTGATGCATTATTTATAAACAGGATCTCATTATTGCTTATTTTTTAATAGCTTTGTGTGAGACAATGCATGGGGTGACAGTAAAAGTGTAACCCCGGAAACAAAGGTCAAAACTGTAATTGTATAAATCGATCATTACTACAGTTAAGTCAACCAGAAAAGAAAATAAAGTTCAAAAATGACAAACATCATGTTTTGAAAAGAAAACACCTTTGCAAACCACTCAAAAATGATTGATAATGGGAATTTAACAATTTATATCAGAAAGTTAGTAATAAAATAGATTGGTTTTAGATACAATATGCATTGTATATATGGACATAATTTTTCAATTGTTATATGAATACCATCGCCTAAACTAACACACTGATATTTACGGAGTTCAAATATTCGCATTATTCACTTATTATTTTGGTTATCAAATGTTCTTTATTTCTATTTTATTTAAACAACATACGATTTCTTAAAATGTCAGCTAATCCTTTAAAATTAAATCTTTTTTCGTTAAAACTACATATGACAACATCAAGAAAATAATAATTTGTTAGTAATAATGAAATAGGGCAGTACAATGTCACCCTAGCGCTACTCAGTTATTTTCTACCAATTTGAAGTGTATGCATTTCTATCGACTTTTGACGTTGTATTCTCAAAGTGCAAACACATGTGCCCAGTTTGCATACACACAAATAGGACAGAAATGTTCAACAATACAGTGTACAACAAATTAAGTCACTATAACGGACAGGCATGAATTTTTCCCTTTGGATTTTCGGCGCATCAACACAATACAGACATATGGTACCGATACAGGAAAGATGATTTTGGCAAACATTGGGTGTTACAAACCTTAAAGCAAAAACCAGGGGTCAAAACCATCTCAACTGCTGGAGCTATATATGCAACCCATTTAGTTGCCTCTTACGATCACGCAGGGCTAAACGATATCTGCAATTCTTATGCCTTAACCATTAAAGGCAACCCCTCAGCCACAAGGGCAAAAAGAACATCACAAGAGCAAAAAGAACATACCCTTAAATCTTAGGTTGCAATGGTCTTTAAAACGAATTTTAGTGTTAAAAAAACTTAAAACACAATAAATACATGATAATAATGTAAATTTATTATCTCCTATATTTATAAAATAGAAACCAATAGATGTAAATATGCATAATTATAAACTTGATAAATTACTATTCGGTTTATTTAACACCACATGTATTTATTTGATAAATTGTATTTATTTGATAAATACAGACACACATACTTAAACACTGATACCTCTTAAAAACATGATTTAAATTGAAATAACGTTGTTTTACAATTGTTTGTGGTCACAATGTTTTTTTTAATAAAAACAGTATATTTCTTTAAAACCTACAATTACTTTATAATCATGTAGAACCACTAAAAGACTCATTCCCTTTCGATCAATTTTGTATGGTAAAAAATGATGAAACGTTCTTTAATATTTATGTTTGAAATTAAGAATGTTTTCAATGTTATTGTCCCAGTGGGTAAACAAATCAATGGCTCTCATTAAAAAAGAGTTTCTATGAATAGACTGGTCTACACAAGAAGTTGGCTTTAGGAAAAGGTTTGACTGTACTTTATAATAACCATGTTTTCAATAAATAGTTTTGAAGACAAACAATATTTAAAGAGTATTGCCGAACGTGAAAACATGAACAAATAAGTAAATAACATAATTAAAAATATAAAGAAAGGAGTATTTTAGAACGTTGAAAACAAATAAGCAGGTAATATATTACGACTTGTTAATGAAATATTTGAATAATGTGATATTTATGATGCAATATAAGTCAACTCCGTACTTAATGCACCTATTTTACATACAGTCGCTTTCAAGTTAAAAATATAAAAGATCAATCACAAATGCACTTCTAATTGATATACCGTTGATGAATTTGAAGTAAATTAGACAATATTCTATCAGCGAACTAAATTCAATTAAAAGAAATCCAATTAAAAAAACAACATATATAACCATCCTCACAGCATCAGCAGGAACAACAACAGCAGCAGCAACAGCATCAACAACAACAGCAACAACAACAACAACAACAACAACAAAAACAACAACACTTGTCAGACTTGTATAAAGAGACCGCACAAGGAAAAAAAAGATATTTGCTTCATACAACCGTCTCTCACGACAAAGTATGAGAATCAAAGTCATAATTTATTCATGACATATTTCATTTGAAGCGTAGGAATTTGTCAACTGCATTTATATACAAGCTAAATACTGGTACGAGTTATAGAATTGCTTGCGTTGCTTTGCTTCTGGGAGTCTAAAAATATTAAAGGCTCTGTTTGAATGAGCTTGTTCATTGAAGTTTGTGGTAATTGAAAGTCACCGTCCACGCCCCCTAGCACCGATTTAAGCAAAACATGAAAATGGTGAAAATTTGGTTTATACAGAATTAGTTTTAGTTCGGTCGTGTATGAAGCTATAAGCTTATAGACACACTAAAATTTGGACTGAAGATATGGCGGTAACCAAGGCACCTTCAATGTAACCTGTCCGTGCCATTCCATGAAAAAGCGGCGAATGGTCCTGAATTCAAGTCATTGTCGTTAATTTCACTGGGTTGATTGTAGATATACTCATAGATGTATAATCACGACTGGGAGTCACATGACTTACTAGTAACGCATAACTGCAACATAATAGCTATATTCCACCAATTCGGAAACAATTTTAAGGTATTTTGACGCCGTATCAATAGCCCTTGCATAGAAGACATTTTACAGCATAAATATGGTGTGCCTCGGTCTTCTTCTAGCCTATCAAATGAAACATACATATACATGTAATGGGAAATAACAATTCTATTCAAATTCAACATTGAAACATATTTCTCACTTCCTGTTCATCTCAATAAATTTAAGATAACTTATGTTTTTTCTTAATTTTTCATTGATAAATACTTCAAATACTTCAATGACAGCCTTGAACTGGACTTATTACGGACTATAAAATATTTCGAAAGTTTTTACTGTACGAAAAATATAAGGTTCGTTACTAATTTATGACTTCGGTTTTGATTCGGAAACCGTTTTAAAATTGTTTACGTTACATTTACCATTACATGTCAGAAATGAAATAAAATATTCAGATAAATGAATATATTAATACAACTTAGAAATGTTTTTTGTGACCTTTATTGACTGTTTGTCAATCAAATCAACAGATGTCTGATGTTAGTTTTGTCACACTTTTGCGTCATATATAAAAACGGGGAAATTGATAACATTTGTTTAAGATCCAGAGACCGGCCACGTCCTCTCTTATGGTTGAGAGTATGGCCTGCATCGCAAGAAAGCATGTCAATAGAGTTTAAGTTAATAGTTATCAGATCTACAGGGGCAAATCTGACCGACTATGATCAGGATCCATGCTGTTCGCTTTCAGTTTCTTTACTTGTATTAGGATCTGTAAGCGAACAGCATAGATCCTGATCAGACTGCGCGGATGCTGGTCGCAAACCCATTATGTTGGTTTTGTCGTGACACGGCTCATATGAAGTTTATGACTCTTTTGCAACGATGCACACATTCACTTATTTGCTTTCACGAAACACCTTCAAAGAAATCAATCACAAATCCATTCATAGTTGATATGCCCTTGACATTTTATCCGTAAATATTTTGAAGTTGAGTTGGCCATTGAGGAAATCATTATCTGTATGCAAGATGGTAAACGGAAGCAAAACATTGGTTAAAAGGTACAAAAAGTCAATAGGATGACCTGAATTTAAATTTAAAGATTGGAGAAAATTTTCTTACAATCTTACTGTCATGAGCATAAAACTGTCTTAAAATGCAGGTATTTCTTAAAGGCACTATACTGAGGTTTTTTGACATATCGGACTGGAAATAATTTCCCGAGATTAATGTTCCATTTGATGTAGGTCTAGAGCAATACTTCTGTGCACAATTTCAATATTTCTTAAATATCTTTTGCATATCTTTCTGTTTAAAGTACGGCAGCTGATTTATGTAAGAAATTCAAATGTTTGGTTTTAGGTTTTTGGCTCTCAGTTGAGTTCCTTTAAAGGAATTAGAACCTCGAAACATAAACAAGCAACAAGCATGTAGTCTAATCCCCCCGACAAATATATCTATTTTTATCAGATTTTCTTTGCATTCGTTTATATTTATCTTATTTTTTATTTTTAAACCAAGCTAACACCTTATGTTGACACTACTGCTGGACCCTAAGTGAACTATTCATATTAACTTTATGATTATTTATATAATATACAGTTTGTAATATACACGTATATCCAATCAAAATTCTCGTAAAATAAAGCTTTGCTTTGTTCGTTAGCAGCATCTTATAGACGTAGACTTTGAAAGCGTAGCCTTGAATTTATAAAAATATTGTCGTGTGATATAAAACAGACATATACTCATCATGACATGAAGTGGTTGCATACTTGGTTCAAGCTAGCGAAATGGTTGCAGACTGTACAGACTCTGTAATGATGGCTGACTAACTTCTTGACTTTCAAGGTTGAAAAACGGACACTTCCAAATTGCCATTTTGCAGATTCAGCAGGTTAGGTAAGAATAAGGCATGCAAATATGTAAGTCTTTTAGTGTCAGCACTGTAGGTTGCTCAAGTTTAATACATTTTTCTTGCAGCATATTACATGAACCTAGGCTGTTACAAGTAGGCAAAGTCGAGTACACAAATACAGTTACAAAATTCGT